GGACATAGGAACAGCTACTGACAAAGCCTCAGATCCCACCTCTACCCCCTCACCCAGTGTGCAGGACCTGCCCAGACATGGCATTTTTGCAGGGAGTGGGGACTCCTGTCGCTCACAGCCAGCGAACAGAGGGCAGAGCTCTGAGCACCATGCTCCCTACACAGCTGGACCCTCTGCTCTCTAGAAGGGACCCCAGAACTGGCTGAATTGTGAGGTGGCAGGACTACAGCTGGAAGCGTAGGAGGAGCCCTTCATCTGTGGCCATTCAGCAAAACTCGCCAATTGTTACTGAGGCAAGGTGGTCACTGTAACCACACCCCAAGGACGTAGAAAGCACTAGCTCACTCAAGCTCACACTGAGTGTGAGTCCTGGGACCTAATGCAAATCACAAGAGAACGCTGTTAACCCCTAACCTCTTGGTTTGATAACAGCCATACAATCAAAGGCAAAATAGTACCAGCGTTTTTCTGTTTCTCCATTAACATCCCAGCTTTAACACAGGCTGGCTCTGTGCAAACACAAATCTGACGAGGGAAAGACAGCACTGGCATTCATGTTTCTCCCTAGAGAAACGGCTCCCGTGTCCTGCTGCTGCTGGTGCGTGTGTTCAGGGCACACAGGTGTGCTCTCTGATAGATGCTATGATGATGACTGAGAGGCTGCCATGCCCACGACCAACACCTGGGGCCCACACTGCTGGTCACGTTATGTCAAGATTCCCGTGTACTTACACATCTCCAAACACACCTCTGTGAACTTCTACTCAAATCAGGTTTAACATGGTAATGAGGGACTGGCAAGAGCGCTCTGGTAATTCAGTGTGCAGCAAGGCATCTTCTAACCCCAATGCACTTCACAGGAGCCGATCACCCTCAAGTGCAGCCAGATGCTGGGAGGGGAGACCACTCACCAGCATTAAAGAAAAGCAGGCTGGACTGAGAGGAGACCACTTTCCAGCATTAAAGAAGACCAGGCTGGGCTCGGGGGAGACCGTTCACCAGCATTAAAGAAAAGCAGGCTGGGTGGAAAGAACGGGTATCAAGCACGGAATAGCAATTCATTAAAAGAGTTACCCTGAACAACACTGTTAAAGGTTAAAATATGGACCCCTCCTAAAACTTCTTCTTGTACTTTTCCACGAGTCGGTCATGAGATCCGGGTTATAGGTCCCATTTTGTCACAGTTGCATCAATGTGCTCTTGGCCAAGACAGCTACCTTCTGTGGGACCTTTGCCTTGAGACGGAAAGGTCCCTCTCTCTGGAAGGCTCTGCCCAGAGCAATGACTCAAATCTACCTCAGTGGAAGTGATGAGCCCAAGTGATGCTTCAGGAAGTCTTTGGTTTGAGGGGCTCCAGGACATGAGAACCAAAGGACCAAGAAGAACAGTTGGCTTAGTGGGTTCTGAACTTGGTTTCACTATTTAGAAGCTAAGAAAACAAGTCTCAGGCCGGGCATGGTGGCTCATGCCTGTAATCCCAGCACTTTGGGAGGCTGAGGTGGGTGAAACACTTGAGGTCAGGAGTTCAAGACCAGCCTGGCTAACATTGCAAAACCTTATCTATACTAAAAAAACAAAAAGCAGCTGGGCATGGTGACACATGCCTGTAGTCTGAGCTACTTGGGAGGTTGAGGCAGGAGAATCGCTGGAACCGGGGAATCAGAGGGTGCAGTGAGCCGAGATCATGCTGCTGCACTCCAGCCTGGGCAACAGAGCGAGACTCCATCTCAAAAGAAAAACAAAAAAAAAAAGAAAACAAGTTTCTTTCTGAACCACCCTGGATCCCAGTGCCTGACAATGGAAAAAGAAACACACAGAGCAATGGCAAATGAAGCACCTACTGTGAGCCAGACATTCAACCAGTTTGTGTGATCTTCCCCTGAAGGGCGAATAGCTTCCAGGTCTTCAAGCTTTCTAGATGCCTTTGTGGAGATTACTGTATCTACAGAAAGAATGGCAGAAGCAGGCGAGCCAGAGCTGAGAGTGGGCAAACTTTCTTGGCAGTCACAGAACAGGTACCAGTTAGGGATGCAGAAACAACAGATCATAAAGACCAGAACGCTTACTACCCCTTCTAATCCTGTAACAAATCCCCATTCTGATTCTTTGCACAAACCTCCTGATTATGTGTGGTCTACACAGCAGTGTGCACAGGAACTTTCCGGGAAGCTGGTTCTGCTCTGGTCTACCTTGTTACTGTGGGTCTCTGAGTTTGGTTAGTGCCAGCCAGCATCCTCCAGCCAGGAGTTCATGAAGGAGGTGAACTCCTCAGCTGTCTCAGTCATGAGGGAAGGCCAGTCCCAGAGCCAGGGTACCAGGATCCAACCCAAGCAGCCAGTCTTCCTGGAGTCCTGCAGAGCTCTACTGTCCTTTTTTGCAGTGTCAGAGTTGTACTGAGAACAGCTGTGGTTCACCCCAAGTCACAAGGCGGGTACCCACAGAAGTGCGGCTAGGCCTTGGTCTGGCAGACAGCACAGAAGGGGTATGGAAAGAGCTCAGGTTCTCCTTTTGCTTCTATTTCTGCTCCTTGACCCAACCACAACCCTCTCGCTCTTGATGTGCAAAATGGGGCACTGGGGTTCCCACTGTTCCCTTGCTGTGTGCCTTCTTCATGTCACTCCTGCCATGAGGCTCAGGCCAGAAGAAGGAATCCTCAAGTGTAACGTGCAGCTGGAAGTCACTGTTCCTTCCTGGGGTAAAACTAGAGGCCAAACCTAATGGACCCATCCTGTTCTTTCACTCTGGAAGGCTTGCAAGTCCCTCCACACCAGCTCCTTTCCTCTCTGCAGTATAGGAAGTGGAGCCCGAGAAGAAACAACTCCTGAAGGCCACCATCTCCTGACTCTGCATAGCTTCATTTTCTTTGGGGAAAATGTATATAAAAAGCTAGTGTTAGAAGATTCTGTGGTTTCAGCTCGTCTACAGCACTGGGCCATGCAGTTTTACAAAATCTGAATGCAAACAAATCAGTAAGAGTGTTAGCGGCTGTAGTGTGACCGGGAGCTGGGCTCAGTGGCCACCGGAACCCTTGGGCTGTATCATGCATCTGTGTGCTCTTCCGGTTTACTGAGGGCTAAACTGCTATGACACCAGCATTTTTTTTGTTTGGTTGAGATAATTTATCCAAACTTGGAAGTGAACTCAAAAAGGAGAAAATGGCTGCATGCTTTTTTCCCTGCTAACACAAGTTCAGTGTTTTACAAACCCAACAATCACTTGACTTTCTAGAAGTAACAATTTACCACTGATTGTGGCCCACACATTTCTCAATCTGCAAAGTTAATTCTCCTTTCCACCAAGAAGAAAAGATAATCCCCAAGGCTGTAGTTTCATTGCATGCAGGATATTCACATCTTATAGCTAATCCAGCATGTTTTCTCAGCATTCCTTTTACCCACTCACTAAGAAAATCCTAGTTTTGTGTATTTGCTTTTGAACTGGCATGCCTATCCTCCTGGATCCTGGACTAATGACTGAAATATAACCTGACGAGCTGTTTACATGAAAATTATACTTCTAACATTTTGAAAATTATACATTGATGGTTTGTAAAAATATGTTTTCCAAAATCAGAAGAAATACATGTTTAATAAAATTTGGAAAATATGAACAAGCAAAAAAATACAAAAATAAAAACTTACAATCCTCTTACACAGCTCCAAGCACTATCATTATTTTTTGGTGCCTGCTGGGTCAACTGTTTATCCAGATATAAACTCTTCCCTTTTTCATAAAACGGGATAAAAGTGTACAAGCTGCTCCCTGGTCTGCTTCTCTTCTTTTAGCAACAGCTAATCCTCTTCTGCCACATCACTGCATTACGGCTACGCGGTGTCCCATCAGGCTTTCATCCAGTTCCTTGTTATCATAAGACATTCTGTGGTGAACATCTCTGAGGCCACCTAGAGAACCTGTGCTGTTTTCGTGAAAGCCGGATGCTCAGGAAGAACTTCCATAACAACTACAGCCTAGATGACGGCCAGTCTATTAATGCTGCTTCTGAAAGGCAAGCGCAGAACTGTCCCAGCTCAGTACGGAGCTGTGGCCATCTCATTCCCTCAATCACTCACACTTCCTTCACCATTGCTTTTTCCTCTCAAGACCTTCCTGAAAAGTTTCATGTAAACAAAAATCAAAATATGGGAGTGAGATCAGCAGGAACTGGATATTACAGATTTCACACAGAGGATAAACTCAAACAGGAGTCAGAAACAGCCGCCTCGCCCCAATCTTTCAGAGAACAGTCACTTACAGCAGAACCTACACAGGCTGAGAAGTCCTTGGCTCCCCTCCCCACTGTCCACACCAACCCCAACCCAGAGCAGCTGGCGATAGGGCCCAGTGCCCGGGGAAGCTCCCACCACCTGCTGACCCGACCCAGTGCCCGCCCTCATCCCCTACCCACCCCACGCCTTGGTGACCTGACCCAGCGTCCCTCCCCCTCCTACAGGTGCTGACTGACCCAGCGTCCCTCCGCCGCCCACACCCTGGTGAGCAGCTCCGTGTCCCCTTCCGCCCAGCTAACTCGGTGACCAGTGGAGGCCACAGCCACGTGACAGCTGCTGTCCTTGACAGCAGCTCCGAATGCACCCAAGTGGCTCCGCAGGAGCCGTCTCCCAGCCTCAGGGGCACACAGGTGAGCTGACCATACCTGCCCAGCCGGTATGCAGGGAGCGAGGTCAGGGGCGACGGCGCCACCTCCGCCTCCGCCTCCGCCTCCGCCGCCGCCTGTCCCCTCCCTCCGTCCGGCATCCGCGCCGCTCAGGGGCTCCAAAGTTAGAGTCGGCGTTAGGAGCCCCCCACGCCCACCGGGCACGCGCGCGGGCAGGACCCCGGGCTGCGGGGCTGGAACGCCGCTCACCCCGGGAACACCCCGGCCGGGGTGCCGCACGCCCACCAGAAGGCAGGGCTGGGACCGCAGACGCTAGGAACCATCCTGGCCCCTCACCCGGGCTCCCCCTCACCCGGGCTCCCCCTGAGGTGGGCTACCGCGCGCTCACCTGGGCTGCCCCTCACGTGGGTTCCTGGCCTCTCACGTGGGTTCCTGGCCTCTCACCTGGGCTCCCGCGCGGTCACCTGGGCTCCCGGCACTCGTGGGCCCCTTCACCCTGGCTCCCCCTCACCCGGGATCCCCGCTGTCGGTGCCGCCCCGCCTCTGCAGGACTCCGGGTAGTCACTGATCACTACGCCGCCGCGTCTAGACTCTCTGGCCTCAAACAGGACCTGCGCACGCGCGCACGCACGCGCTCCGCCCCTCTAGGGGGCGTGGCTACGAGAGGCCCCGCCTAGGCGTTGCCAAAGAGGGGCAGCGGGGGCGGGGCCACGGCCGACTGAATCGCGGCGGGAGCGAGGGGCGGGGCCGGGCTGAACGACGGCAGGCGCGACGGGCGGGGTCACGGCAGGCTGAACGGCGGCGGGCGCGAGAGGCGGGGCCGGGCTGAACCACGGCGGGCGC